GATTTTTGTTTAATTAAGTCTGCCAATTTCGGAACAGCGTCTAGTTAGTTTTCAAAATGGAAAGCACCTTTCTCTGCCCTCATTCAAGATAGAAATCATGCAAATAATAACCAACATAAAAAAAATAAAGTACTTAAAGATTAACATGTACTTGTCAATATACTCATGTATATTAGAAGATTAAAGAGCCCCTCAAACTAGAATGATATATACTTTATTGTTAGTAAAGATTATTAACTTTGACAGTACAAATAACAACCAGACATAAAAATGGCAAAGAAAATGAAATACCTTTTTGACAATATGAGACTTCCTACTAAAATCATTTGGCTCAGCAGCACTTTGATTAGATTGTATTTCACGTGGCTGTACACAATCGGAATTCTGAGAAGTGTTTGCCTCAGAAGGAAATTTGAACGCGGAAAAATCTGACCTAATCCGCCTTTTAACTAGATCAATTGCCTCAAACAATATGTCTCTGACGCTTTCTTGTTTTTCTGGAATATGCATTTGGATAGCAGCAATGTCTGACATTAAGCAAAGACAATTCGAATGACCATTTGTGTAGATTACACGGGCTGCTTCAAGAGCCCTTTGAGAATATTTCAATGCTTCGTTGTATTCACCACGGTCGTAGAGAAACCTATCAAGTTCAAAAGGAGTATGAATCTAAAGAGACTTGATATCAGCATGCAGGGAGTCGAGCACTTACTTGGAAAAATAATTGCAAATCATGCCTATCAGGGCAATTTTATTTTTCTTTTCATTCAAATCTTCTGAATTTGAACTGTTGGAAATAGTGAGATCGATATTAAGGGCATCTTGGGCAGAAGTGCAGAATTTAAAACCCTCAAAGGCCCGATCAAACTGTCCAAGACGAGAGTATACAAGAGCCAACTTAAGGGACAATTCAGCTATTATGGGAGAGGTTTGGTCGATACCAGCAGCAAGGCAATCATGTATTGTCTGTACAAGCAATTTTTCTGCGGTAGGAAGATCGGAATTTAGAAGACTTAAGTTAGCCATTTCACTGAAAACGCGTGCACGCTTTCCCGCATATTCCACATGATTAATTTGACCTTGCTTTAGCTGGTTTGCTAGGATAGGTAATATCGAATGAAGACAGACGTCTGCTTCCTTATATTTGTCATTGTTTATATATGAAATTGATTTAGCAATAAGAATTTCCTCTGTTTTATCTTCCCTTTTTAACAGAGAAAGTGCAAGAACGGACGATGGAACGACGGATAGACTCAAAGAATATAATCCTAAGGGTTTTGACGACAAAACACGGAAAAACCTGGAAGTTTGTAAGGATAATAGCAAATTTAAAGTTATGTTTAAATCCCTATGAAGCTATACATGTAAAGAACAATAAAGCAATAAAATAGCATAAAATATTTAGTAATAATATAAGTCATATACATATATATATACTTCTTCTGGAAAGCCTGTCTGAAACCGGCAAATAAGCGGAAAGACATGGCAATAAGGGGGTACCAAACCCGGCGGCTTCCAAGCCGACTTGCACGAATTCAATTATAAATTGATAAATTAAAAACAATAATTCATCTATAACTAAATAAAATATTTATTTTAGTAAAGAATTACATTCATACGTCATGTTATATATTTTTAATAAGGATGTATGTTTATCTTTATTGCCTTCCCTAACTGCAGACAAAATTAAGGCCAAACAATATGATTTTCATATCTAATAGTGATAAAATGGACCTCTATTTATACACATCTTAGTCAGAGTCTGCCTAAAGCGGGAAAAAAAGCGAAAAGCCATGACAATAGAATGATGCTAAATTTGGTGGTCTCCAAATCGACCTACAAAACCTCTAATATAAAATAAAATTTAAAGCTAATTATTTTAGAATGCGTCTGTTGTAATCTCTATTACTATCTCCGCTATAAAACCGAATTCTCTAACTTGTTGACCAAAAAGTTTTAAAAATGTTATCGAGAAAATAATATAGATTTTGAATCATTTTCCAAATTTGGTGTCGAATCTTTAATTACAAAGACAAAAGATGTGTATCCATAAATGTTATTAAGCTTCTGTACGTTACAGACTTGTCTTCTCCGTGAAATTTCATTATATGCTCAGATTGATATGAAGACTTTCATTTCTTTTGGAAGTACATGGTGAAGAGATTCATATGTCATTCTTACCAGAAGACATAGGCTGATTCGCGTTATACTGCAGCCGTTTGGCAAAATTACGACGTTCAGGTTGATACAGTCTGCGAAGAATCTTCAGATATTTCGGGCGAAGACGGACTTAGCTCCTGTGCGTCATGCCACATGAAGAAGATCGTCAGAGCTGGAATTC